CTTAAGTAAAGTACAGATACACGAAAATTGTACTTAAGAACAGTAACGAAGTACTTGTACTTCGTTACTTCCCACCACTGTTCAGTAATAACCTCACGATATTTTGAAGCGAACATAAAAAGAAAAAACTATTTCCGCCTTAGTGAAAGCATTTGCTGTTCTGTTCTACCAAAAAAAATAAAAAAATAAAAACTGTGAAACTCAAAGATTTTTGACCTCTTTCCCTCAAACAAAGACACTTTGTTCCATGACAGCAACCGTTTATACTGAGATCTCAGCATGCTAGCTGCAACAGCCATTACAGTGTTACACAGGGAGCAGCGATGATCAGGTCACAGGACTTTAGCGCGGTTTGCCAAAAACACTCGTCTATTTTCACCGCCTGAGCGGAACATGGCTGGCAGAGCCTCCTCGGTGCCCACAAAGCACCGGCGAAGTGGTGAAAACAGTGGCTCTAAGTCAAGCCACATGAGTTTAGGCGAGTGCTGCCAGGTTGGGGATAAGCAGCATTTGGCAGCGGCCTACGTTCCAGCCTCGTGCAAATCCACATGTTTCATTCGAGCGAGGACACGGAGAACACGCCAGCTCCGATCCTTCACCGTCTCTCCACAGATAAATCATAAAAGCTTAAACCCCCTCCCTGCGACTCTTCCATGACATCATCGGCATTCCTGCCATTGCTTCCACCGTCTTCACTGCGTCGGCTGGCCTGCGCTGACCTTACACCTGCAAGGTGCCGACAACTGTTTTTTTGTTGTTGTTTTTTTTTGACAGATTCGCTGGACTTCCGATGTCTTTTAGTGGGGAGACACAGAAGAGAAGCGGATGTTTCCCGAGAGATCGTGCAGGGTGGCAGAGGAATGTGTGAATTCCTCACCGAAGTAGGGGGGAGGAAGAAAGAGTAAGAGACGAGACAGGAAGCTGTGAGTGCAGGAGAGAGAAGGCCAACAGGAACGAGGGGGACTGGGCCAGGAGAGCAACTCGTTGGGTAATTCAGGAAAAGACTACAGTTAATCTAATCCCTTTTTGCTAACAGGCATTAAGATGTAGGTCAGTAGAAGAGGCTGCGCAAGAAAAAAAAACGGACTAGGAACACTTTGTAGTGCGATCTTAATGTAGATTAAGACATGGTGCGTGTTTTCCCCGAGGTAAATCAATTTTAAGACTTTTTAAAACTTTACAAATGCCTTTGTAAAGAGCTAGCTCTTCTAGCTAGCTGGCTAGCTAGCTACTAAGGGTGGGGATATTAGCCGCTAACGGCAGACTCAATCGCTTCAAAACACAATGAAGATGCCGGCACACGACTCAGACTTTTCCCTGACAGCACCGTCCCATGAGGAAAAAAACAACACACGAGATTAAATAGTCCTGATTGATTTAAGACAACAACCATGTTTTTTGTGTATTTTAATTGGATTTTACTGACCAACTCAAAGTAGTGCATATTTGTGAAATTGCGAAAAACAAGAATGCATGTTTTTTAATCTAAAAGGGTGTTAAAGCCATGGGAAGTCATTTTTCACATCCCATGTAGGTGTGAAAAAGGTGCCAAGGTCAGAAGAGAGCAATACTGAACTATTTGACCGTCATGCAAAAAGGTATGTGTGGAGGACTTCTCTGCTTGCGTTACCTAGGATACTGGAACCTTCAGACCCGTTCTGGGAGGACTGGTATTCCGGGACGTCGAGGGAGCTGAGGGCGTCCTCGTCAAGGGATGTGGGGATCTCGCGAAGCGCCTCCATGTTGCCCATGAAATCGTCATCACCACACAGGGGGCCATCCAGCACCGAGTCCTCCAGCGGAGACGGGGGCTGGTAGTGGCTCTCTATGTCGACCATTGTGATGGAGGAGCGTGCTGGTGGCGCCGTCACACATGAGACTAAAGGCCAGAAATCAGAAGAGGGGAGAAAGAAAGATTATTCAGACAGATAACACGAAAAAATACTGGCACACACCAACAACGATGTATTCAATGTTTATTTTCACCATCTAATGGGATTGTGGGATTTTCTCTTTGCCTTACAGGACAATTTTATACCTGGAAAAAGCCTGCAACAGAGGAAAGGTATCTTTTCTCTTTTCACATTTTGAATTTTTCTAGATAAGGTTGGATCAATTCCTGTATGGTAATGTGATAGAAAGTAATCTGCACATTAAATCCAGTCATCAACGTACTCACTACCAATCAGTCAAATGTTAGTTGCTTTATAGCAAATAGGAAACCAATGGGAACAACAGCAACTCGGTCACATAACAGCCATGTAAAGCCACACTGCATCGTCAATGGACGGCGACATGAAGACGGTTCTGTAACGTCAGAAGCCACAAACCTCCAAACTGCACGTGGCAAATCAGATTAGCTCAAGAACATTGCATAGAGAGCTGCAGAGAATAGGTTTTCATGGCCACGCATCTGTAATGACGGCTTAAATCACTAAGAGCAACAAAAAGTGTCAAAATCAATCTTGCTTTGCATGACACCACTGGACTTTACAGTAGTGGGAGATGCTCGCTCGCTCGCTCACTCACTCACATGGACGAATCTACGAAACAGACCTTCCTCGTCCAACATCAGTGTTTGGCCTCACAAATGCAATTCTGGAAAACAAATCAAAAATTCCCATCAACACAAGCCTAAACCTTGTGGGAAGTCATCCAAAGAGTTGAAGCTGTTACAGATATAGAGTCGGCTAATATCATATAAAACCCCACCTGGGTTTTCTCCAGTGCACCATAAGCCTGGGTTAAGTCAGGTTTATAGCTGATGCATTAAGCTGGGCACGAGGGGGATGCGCACCAATTGTGCCGTCCCTGCCCACTGGCCTCACACGCTATTAATTCCAGATTATGATGCCTGCTTGTGCACCTCTGAACTTTTGTAACTTAACATTTTTCTGTACTAAAACGCAGCGGGCCGCTGATACACAATGCGCCAAGACTTTATATAACAAAACACAATACCATTTCTTAAATTTTAATAAATATAACCAATGATGAGTGACACATCCTGCGCTGTGGTACTCCCATTTTAGTACGACATTGTGACTGTATTTAGGTATATATGTCACTGGGCCACTGGCTTGAGGAGACTTGATAGGTTGGCATGTCTAGCTGATGAACTCTGCCGAACTGCTCGACGTGAAGATGGAGAGAGTTACAGAGAGCACTGGACGTCCATGAAGAAGTGGCAGCAGGAATACTCTGTGGATTAATAAATGTAGCCCCTAAGCATTTGCTTGTCAGTCTTCAGTTATCCATTTTCATCAGGCACTGCAAAGAAAATCCAATGAGAGGAGGAGAAGTGTCAAAAGATGGTGTTTTTAAAATTACTCCGTCATGTCACCGCATCTAGGTGAACCTGATCTTATCCTGTAATTTGTCGCAGTTCAAATTTATTTCTTCTTTTATCCACAATATCCTCTTGAGCTGTTGTCCTCATTTTTCCCCTTTCCCTCCACCTTGGTCTTTTTTACTTTTAAGCACTTATGGGGAACAGTGGCAAAGCATGAAACTGCTCTCACATATTAAGCATTTCTGTGAAACTCGGGCGCTGTCGGCGGATGGCTGAGATTCCATAAAGGAGCGATCGTACCGGTTCCTTCCTTCCCCAATATCCTAATGATTACTAAGCTTTATGAAGGAGTTGGGCTTCTATCCCAATGGGTCCAATAGACATAATAAATGTATTATTTAATGCATCATATTTATGAGCAAGCGTCCGCGGTTGTAAAGAAAGTTTACCTTTTTGCACAAATTGTCTGGCGGACATTTGCTTTGAGTCCTCCAAAAGAAGTATGTCTGAGTATGTTGGAGGCAACATGAAACTGTTACTGCGCATGTTACGTAACAGGTTGTTGCTAGGTAACCAAAGAGCGAGTGATTGATGCCATAGAGATGAAATGCATCATCATCGTTTTATTGCCCAGCCCTCTCTGCCGGTACTGCTTCAAAGGACGAAAAATAAAAGTTTTGACTAAAATTTGTAAATATAACTGTCCATTAATAATCAACTGATTGGGACGAGACAAAGCCATGGTGGTAAACATTTTTTCACTTTACCACAGCAAACTTTGATTCATTCAACTTTATTGGAATTTTATGTGACAAAATGCAAAAGGACAGCTAGCTTTTATCGCCATGTTTCACAGTGTGGATGTTTCACCGCATGAAACATCAGCAGAATCAGATAAAAGGACACTGAATAGAAAACCATGCCAGAACAAAAAAGTAAAATAAATAGGAAGTAGACAAAGGAATGATGTGAAATGTGGAAAAAAATTAAGGGGGTATGAAAACTTTTTACCATTTTCACCTGAAAACTTTTACAAAACACACATTCATAACTGGACTCATGACACCTCCCACCCCCTGATAATGGACCAAGCTAGCCTCATGTTTCCACCAACATGCAAAGGAATGTAAACACACACAGAGCAGATTAGCTGGAGTCTGGAGAGGTTTAGTCGATGTGGTTTGAAGACAGACACACACATTCGGACAGGAATGTCATCCAATGTCATTTAGTAGCAGGACAGTGAGCGATCGGTTATGGTTGCATAAAGGTTTTGCCTAACAGATTCACATGTTTGTGTCAACTAAACCAAGACTGCTAGGGGATGTAGCGCTCACTGATTAGCTTAGAATTAGGGTTTGAAAAGGGGATGAGTAGGCAAGACTCCAACAAATGCATCGAATGAGTTCAAAACCAGAGGTGACAGGCTTGATCTGGCATGCTTAAAGAATAATTGACCAATTATCAACACTGGAATCATGTATGGAAAAAAATTCTGGATGGTTTACTGTACGTCGAATTAGCAGCCTCAACCGATAACCACATCACTTAGCAAAGGCTAAATCTGATGGGTTTCTACTTATAAGCCAGCCTACACAATATCCATCTACAGACAAGACAGGACAGCTTTTAAACTCTACAGCAGATAAAAGTAGTTATAGTGTGACATTGGCATGAAGGCAGCCGCTTGGTTCCCCAGAACAAAGAGTCACAAGCTGGCTCAAAAAGTGAATGTGGACCTTTAGGAAAGTAAACGTCATCCACAAGGATTCACTGAGGAGTTTGCACCCTCAGTTTAAAGAGTAATTGTAGATTACTGTAAATCTCTACAGATGGCCATATGTCCAGAGAGGTTGATGATTATAGATTATTTCATCATCTCTAACAATTGATAAATTTAAGGTACTTTGGGAACTCCGTAATTCTGAACGTCTGTCACCGGCGTTTGCTTGCATCTTTTCTTCAAAATCTAAAACATGAGCACTATTCAACTTAAATAAATACTACTCACTTCAGGTAGATGAAATGCTGAAATGTTCTTGAGATTGAGAAATAAAAATAATGCCGATGCTGTTACATATATGTTTTTGATGTGAAGTTTGTAAAACCCACATCCGATTCTTCCGATTCTTTACTTTCTTGATTCATCGACTTGAGTTGAATCAAAGTATTCACTCAAAGCTAAACATCCACGCACGTAATGCACACCGGCATATTTAAAGTGTGAGCTTGCCCCGTGAACGCCGTCATTCCACCACGGGCAAAGACGACCTATTTTGGCAAACGAGAGGCGATAAACGGCGCGTCGGGAAGTACAACCATCTTACCTTAGTTAATCAAAGAGTTGGACGTTTTCTATCCAGCGTTAAACCCCTGACTGCATGGCGTCTACCTGCTTGGAAGGGCTTGTACAATCATTCATTGTCGGTCCATATGTCTGACGGCATGAAGGGGCCACAAGTTAATGTTTAATCCATCTATCTTGTGGCCTGAGTCCCACCAAGCCTGTGAGAGGAAGAACCCCGAGGGACACAACAGAAGGAACATGGGCCGATGGGGTTGTCCACCAGCGTGTCCATGCGTCTGAAGAGTCCACCCTACGAGTTCAGTCTGGACAGCAAACACTCAACCCAAGCCTTATCACTTGACTTTGATATACTGGCAAGCAGGCCCTTTTATCGTTATGGAGACTGAGCAAAGTACAGCCAGGGTAATTGAGACTTGGCTTTATTATGTGTGGGGTGTAGTGGCTTTTTTTTTTGTGGCAAATGAGCCACATTACGAAACAAAAAGAGATGATATAATCCTTTCAATAGGAAATGTATGATTTAAACACATGGTGAAGAGCTGATATTACACTTGAAGACCCCATGCTTGTTAGTGCTGATATGAACTACATGCATTTTATTTTTAAGGACTGGGTGTACTTTAACACCCCTTTGCAGCAATTTACACAAAGGGACCAAATGTTACGTCCAGCACATACTTTTATGTTGTGTCTTACACAGTTTCCCCTTTTTGTTAATTTAATTTAGCCTTTTTATTACTTGTAAACCGAACTCAACACAAAGAACATAAAAAAAATTTCAAGAGATGCATCACTGTGAGTGACAAATGGAAATGAAATGAATAATTCTTTCACCAAACTACGGAATTGATTTATCTTGTAATAATATCCCAGTTTATTGACCACCATTTGAAACTTGGACGGTTGAAATGATGAGAAAAGTTTTCAGAAACTTATACAAACACTTCAAAGACGCATCAAAAACGAAGCACCTGAATCGTGACAAATGCGTCACGTCAAGCCACATAAATCAACAAGCTGGTTTTAACCAGCGTCCAACACGTGTTTTCTTGGTGCTAGCTGAGATTAGCGGTCTTATTGCCTGTCAACATGACCTGCATCCAGCGCCGCCCTCAGCGGAGAAATAAACAGAGAGTTACATAAACGCCCCCCGCCCTCACCAACCTCACCCCCGGTGGACCCTGACCTCTACGCTGACAACGTGTTCACTGCCCGAAATGTTCTCACAAGCGGGGTGAGCGTACACGCTGACCGGGCTGTCAGGGGACAGGCCGCGGTG